GGGGGGGGGGGGGGGGGGGGGGGGGGGGGGGGGTGGGGGGGGTTGGTTGGTGGTGGGGAGTGCGGGTGGGGAGTAGGTGTCCAGAACATCAGACCAGAAGACAAGGCTGAAGTGTTTTCAATCATCTTTAGCCAGAAGTACTGAGTAGATGATCAATCCTGCCTTCCTCTGAGGTCTCCAGCATTACAGACCTCAATCTTCAGTCATGTTGACTCACTCTAATGTGTTGGAAAGAATGCAAAAGATGTTTATGAGAGTGCTTCCAGGGATGAGACACTCGGTTACAAGGAAAAATTAGAGAAGTTGGGTTGTTTACCTTGGAAAGAAGAAAGCTGATAAGATTTGACAGAAATTTTCAAAATCGTGAGAAGTATGGATAGAGTGGTTAGGGAGAGACTGTTCCCACTTGTAAATAGATCGAGAACAAGAGGGCAAAGTGATAAGTATTTTGCAAAAGAATAAATTATGTAAAGTGAGAAAATTCACACAGCAAGTAGTTAGGGTCTGAAATGCACTGCTTAGAATTGGGATGGAGGCAGGTTGAGTTGAGATATTCAAAACCACATTTATTGATTATTTAAATAGACACATTGTTCAGAATTTCAGGAAAAAGCAGGTGATTAACATTAGGTTAAAATGCCCATAGCTGGTAGAGACACAATAAGTCAAATGGCCTTTTCCAGCACAGTAACAGTTCTGTGATTCTGTGATTTTCTCTATTATTTATGATTTAATGTGGTGTTGATAGATCAGTTTTAAATGCATTCCTTCAAATTTTGGTTCAGTTTTAATCTTTCTATTTATCCACGAAATTCTATACTTTGCTGTACTACTTTTGGCTTATTGAAAACGCTTTAAGTTGTGTTCTATCCTTCATATCTGAAAATATTCAATTGTCAACTCATTGTCCTAAAAGTAAACTACAGTATTCAGTTCGGTTAATTTATACTACATTCCTTTTTATAAACTGAATTTTACATATCTGTTATAGAAACTTTAACATTGACTATTCTATTTTTACATGGAATCTAACTATATCTTGGTCACTATTTCCTTACGGTTACACGAGTTGTCAGCAAAATAAACATGCAAAGAGCAAAAGCATGTGGAAAATGCACAGATCAACAAACACAAAAGACAAGCAAGAAATAGAGGATAAAAGTCAGAAGTAGCTTAAGTAAAAATATTTGGAACAGGACAGTTGAAGACAAGGAGATATTCACAAAAACAGTGAACAGGAATTGAAAACAAACCTATTGATATAGAGACCATAATGCTTCATATCTTTTGAGTTGGTCCTTGTCAATTAAAAACTGTGCAGTCCAAATTACCTTTCTTTATAGGTTTTTGGTTTAAGTGCAGGTGGTGCAAGGGCAAGGCCATCTTCACTTACTCCCCATGAAACAGCATACAGTAACTTTCCAGAAGTTAATAAAAAATATTCTTCGGATTTTGTTTCATCCAAAACAAATGGTACATCTATGAAATCAAGAAACAACAAAATTATTAGACAAATACTAGAAATGGGTAGTGCAGGCAGGATTTTTAAAATGGCATGGGAACCTAGGTCCTACAGAAATTCAGGGCCCTAACCCGTGCCACATAAGGGTCAGTGATTTTTTTTTAAATGTCTACAGGATGTGGAAACCCCTGACTAAGCCAATGTTAATGTACCCTTAAGAAGAATAAACAGCTTTCTAGTGTTATTGCAGTTGACATGTTGTCGATATATCCACAATGAAGTTGAAAGAAAATTCCAGGACTGTGACCTAATGACAGTGAAGCAATGGGTAATTCAAAGTTAGAATGTCATGTGGTTTGGAAGGAACTTGCATGTGGTGGTGGTCCCATGCATCTGCTGTTCTTGTCCTTCTGGACAGTAAAACCTTTGAGCTCGACATGATTTGCTACTATGTATCTCGTAAATAGCACAGCTGCTACCACTTGCTGCACATGGAAACAGACTTCCAGTATCTGAGGTGTTGTGAATACGCTGAATACTACACAATCATCTGTGAAGATTCCCACTTCAGAGGGGAGTCATGAATCAGCTGAAGATAGTTGGGTCTAGGGCACTGCCTTAACCTGAGGAACTCCTGCATAAATGTCCTGGCACTGAGATAATTGACCTCCAACAATCATATCTTCCTTTGTGCAAGGTATGACTCTAACCAGTGGAAAGTTTACCCTGACTTCAGTTTTGCCTGGACACTTTGATGCCACAATCAGACAAATATTTTCACTGTCACCTTAGCTCTCGAATTCAGGCTCTTTTGTCCATGATTAGACCAAGGTTGTGAACCAAAAACTTCACATTATACTGCATTTGCCATGTGTTTGCCCACTCACTCGACTTGTCTAGATTACCCTGAAGCTTCTTTGCATCTACCTCACAACTCACAATCCCACCTAGTTTTGTGCTGTCAGCAAACTTGAAAATATTGCATTTGGTTCCCTCATCCAAGTCATTCATCTTTATGGTGAATAGCTGCTTCCTAAGCACTAAGCCCTGTGATACAATATTAATCACCATGTGCCACCTGGAATAAAAGCATTTATTGCCACTCTTTGTTTTCATCAACCAATTCCCCTGTCAACCAATTCTCAGTCCATGTCAGTATATCACCCCTAATCTTGTGGTCTTTAATTTTTTCCACTAGGCTTTTATGTGGGATCTTATTGGAAGACTTGAAATTTAAAAACAGCACTTATACTGGTTCTCCCTGTTTATTTTCCTAATTTTCTCCACAAAAAATTCCAGTAGATTAGTTAGTATGATTTTTCTTTCATGCACCCGTGCTGATTTTGTTCAGTTCTGTTAATGTTTTCCAAATGAACTGTTATCAAGTGCTTTTCAATTGACTCTAGTATTTTCCTCACTACTGCTGTTAGGCTAACTGATTTGTAAATCAGGATATTTTCTCCGTCCTTTTTTAAATAGTTGGATTATCATTGCCACTCTCCAATTTGTAGGAACTGCTCCAGAAACTGTAGAAATTTGGAAGATGATGACGTGAGTCCAATATTTCCAGGGCTGCTTCTTTTAGTAATACTCTGGGATCTGTGTTATCAGGCCTTGGGAATTTGTCAGTCTTTAAATTCATTCATTTTGAAATAGCATCTTTTTATTTAACTAATACTGATTCTCTTCAATTTCACCCTTTTGCTAGACCCCTGGTTTCTTAACATTTGTGGGAAATTATTTGCATCCACTTTTGTGAAGACAGAACAAAATCATGTGTTCAATTCTTCTGTCATTTCTTTATTCTCCATTTATAAATTCCCTCATTTTGGACTGTACATGACCTTTGTTTGCCTTCACAGATCTTTTTCTCTTCACATATTTATAGAAGCTTTTACAGTCAGTTTTTATGTTCCCTGCAAATTTGCTCTCATACTGTGTTTTTTTTTTCTCCCCTTTTGATCAATCTTTTCATCTCTTCTTGCTGAATTCTAGACTGTTCTGAGTACTCAAGCTTGCTGATTTTTTTTCTGGGAATTTTAAATATCTCTTCTTTAGTTCTAATATTATCCTTAATTCTTTTTGTAAGCTACCTTTCCTGTTTTATTTTGTGCCAGTTAGAAATAAATGATCATTGTAAATCATATATTCATTCCTTACATATTAACCATTCCTTCTTTACTGCCAACACCTTCATTAAGATTCCCCAATCTAGCATTGTCAACTCATACTTTATACCCTTGTAGCTCCATTTATTTAGATTCAGATCTTAGTTTCAGATTCAACTTCTTCACTCTCCATCTTAATGAACAATTCTATTATTTTATGGTCATTCTTCCCCACGGACCCCTCACAACAAAATTGTTAATTCTTTCTCAATGCCATTGTCATCAGCGATCACTTGCTAATGAGTATGTTTATCTAACTAGGAAATTCCATATCACTGGTCATTGGGTCTATATATCCTTTTGTGGCTGCTGAGCCTGATCCTAGAGCTGCATTTCTGACCTCACATTTGGCAGGTGCTTCCAGTCTCAAGATCATTGTCATTCCTCTCTCTAGTTCCTTTTCCATACTTCCTCTTGCAATGGGCATTCTCAAAGAATTGTGTCCCTTCATGCAGAAGTTTCTTCCAAGTCTTCCGAACAAGAGTTTCCCATGCATTGACATCTATTTGGCATTTCTTGAGGGAAAGCTTCAGAGAATCTTGGAAATTCCTCCTTTGTCCTCCTCTCATTCGAATGCCTTGCTTGATCTGGGCTAAGAAGATTTGCTTTGGTAGTTGGAACTCAGGCATCCCAAGCATGTGGCCAGCCTAGTGCGGTTACTTTCTGATGATCATAGCCTCAATGCTGGTGCTATTAGCTGCTTCAAGGACGCTGATGTTAATATGCATGTCCTCCAAGGTGATGTGGAGAATCCATCTCAAACATTGATGATACTTCTCAAGGGTCTTGAGGTGGTGTCTATACATAGTCCAAGTTTCATAAACATACAGAAGAGTTGGCAGGATGGCTTTCTTATACAAAAGGATCTTGGCATCAGTATGGATGTCATGGTCATCAAAGACTGTCATCCTTAGACATCCAAAGGCAGCACTTGCAGATTGAATGCAATATTGAATATCTGCTCTCTAGTTGTTTCATCAACATATTGGTATAAAAAAAAACACATATATACTTTGGGAAATCTTGCCCCATAGTATTACAGCTATCCTTTTTTGTCCAATGTATATGCAGTCACTTATGATTGCTTGCATCTCTAATAGGGTGGCGTGGTGGCACAGTGGCTAGCATTGCTGCCTCGCAGCACCAGGGGCCCGGGCTTGATTCAAGCCTTGGGCAACTGACTGTGCATTCTCCCTGTGCCTGTGTGGGCTTTCTCCCACAGTCCAAAGATGTGCAGGTTAGGTGGAGTGGCCATGCTAGAAGTTGCCCCACAGTGTCCAGGGATATGCAGGATATGTAGGTTTGCCATGGTAAAACCACATGTGGAGTTATGGGTGTGTAGGAGGTGGGTCTGAGTGGGCTACTGTTCAGAGGTGCAGACTAGGCTGGCCACATGCTTGGGATGCCTGAGTTCCAACCACCAAAGCAAATCTTCTTAGCCCAGATCAGGCCTCCTTCTGCACTGTAGGGATTATATGATTGTAATCTCCTATTTAATGCCTTCCCTTATATCTCTGCTACTGTTTGGGAGCCTCTAAACAACCCCTACCATTGTTTTCTGTCCCTTGGTGTTCCTTATCTCCACCTGTACAGATTCTACATCATTATTCTCTGAGCCAATATCCTTCCCCGTTATTGCATTGATTTCCTCCTTTACTATGAATACTTTCCATGGAGATTGAATAATCGGCAATAATAAATACCCTAGATATGCAGTACCCATCCTTGGTCACCCTGCTGCCAAGTCTCCATAATTGCAACTATATCATAACTGTATATATCTAAGCACTGTTAAACAATCTACTTTATTGCAACTGCTCCATGTCATTAAGATACAATGCCATTAGAATTGCCTTTTTAGCCTTGTTAGGTTTTCTGCCTTCCATATGTTTTCATTTCTATCCTTGCTTCCCCCTTTCTGTCTCCCTGCTCAGTTTCCTATCTCCTTCATGTTCTAGTTAAAATTCTTCTGGATAGTACCAGCAAACACCTCCCTAAGAATATTCATCCTGTTCCTGTAAGCAACCTGTACTGTTTGTACCGGTCCCATCTTGCCCAGAACTGGTCCCAATATCGTATGAATATGAATTACACCCATTAACCATTTTTTTACCCACTTATTCACCTGATATAGCCTGTTATTTCTAGCACATGGCACTGGTATTAATCCTGTTATTATACCTTTGAGGTGCTACATTTTAAGTTTGATCCTAATTTCCTATACTCAGCTTGTAAAACCTTATTTTTTTTTTAACCTATATTGTTGATACTAATATGGTACCATGACCTAAGGCTGTTCACTCTTCCCCTCTAGAATGTCTAGCAGCCTCTCTGAAACATCCTTAACTCTGTCATCAGGGAGGCAATCATGGGTTCTCTCATCATTGAAAACAAGAGATACTTGCAGAGACCTCCTGTTAGTTGCTTAATTGTCCATCCCAATTCACAGCTTAAAGTAACAAGACTGTAGAGCTTAGATTTGATTTGTTGGTTGTGGAATGGCGTAAACCAGTCTATTGCAACTACTTATGTTGTTTGGCATGCAATTAGTCCTAATTCACTGGGTTGATGCCTCATTTTAAGGATTTTTAGGTGCTGCTCCTTTCATGCCCTCCTGCACTCTTCATTAATCCAAGATTGATCATCCTGCATAATGGTAATGGCAAAGTGGGACGATATGCCAGGCCATGAGGTTACAGATTATGGTTGAATACAATTCTGCTAATGGCCCACAATGCCCCCTGTTCAAATTTTATTCCAAATTTTATTGCAATGGTAATACTATAGATCACAATGGAGAGTGTCTGCAGTGTGAACTCAGGACTTCATCTCCATAAGAACTGTGCTGTATTACCTCCTACTAATACTGTCATGGTCAGTTGCATCTGTGACAGCTAAATTGGTCTGAACAGATCCTGGCTAACCAACCAAGTTGTAAATTAACATCTGCCCTGGAATGGGCAGTCCCTGTGTGGAACTCACTGCAAATGATTGGGGGGCTACAGTCCATATCCAAAAATAATTATGGTAATGAGTGATCATCATGACCTATAAAGGGGCTACAGTCAGTTCCACTATTTCTGAGCACTTGAATGTCATGCATGCAGAAAATATGGCAGCCACTAATCCTGAAGCATTAGAGAAAGTTTGGTGTATAAGGATATCAGAAATAAACTTTAATCCAAGGGATATGATATGTTACAGAAGAGAAATGTGGAAAGATTTGAGTAAGGTTATAGGGAATGATCCAAAAACAGTCATTTTACAGAACGGCTAATAGGGTGCATTCACGATGTTAATTGGTACTGGTTACATATTTAGAGACTGAACAAACCATAGAAAGTGATGAGGCATCATGCATTAAAATACACATATGTTGGATCGTTTTGAAAAACAAATTGTCGTAGATCAAGGGCTAGTTGAACATAGATAACTAAAAGTTGATGCCAAATTAACATTTATGCTAGAAGTGCCAGAGAATGGAGAAATGTTAACATTGTAGGGAGACCAGAAATACTGATGAGGGACAGAAGAATAGATCCATGGATTTGCAAAAAGATGTGAAAAGCCAGAAGACAGAGCAGAAGTCCTAAAAAAATTATGTGGAAGTGGGCATGGCCCTGGGATTAGATCACAATCTTCTGAAAGGAGTTCTGATTGTAGGAGAGGGAGACACTGTTATAGTAGCCCAGAACATGATAGAAGGTTAAGTAGTTTAACAAGAATAAGGACTATTGAATAAGTTGGGAATACCATGAGAAGCAGTAGCCCTTACAATCAACAGGTTTTAGTGACTATGAACAAATTATACAATAAAGAATGCCAAACAGCAAATTGGAGAGCTGGGAAGAATTTGGTGTATACATTATATACCAGACAGGTTACAGCCAGCCTTGTGGCACAGGATTTTTAAGAAAGAAATCAAGATATTAGTATAGTCTCACTGACTGACTTGGATCCAGATTAACAATTTTATGAAATATTACACTGTCTCTGTATTGACCTGAATTTAGCATAGGCAAAATCTCCTCAAGCTCCCCTGTCCCTGTATTTATAGGCTATGGTTTGGGGAAATCACCACACTTGCTGCTACCTGTAAAATTTTCAACTCAACTACTCCAATAATTTTTCATGCTTTGGAACTGTTCATCTTTATAATCTGGGCCACAGGTGATTAGATTCTTGACCTCAATAAATCTGGAGGGAGCTAATAATTCTCTTCAGTTTGGGGCTTCCTTGCACCTTTTCCACCATCTCTAATTAATTTTGCCAACTTGTGCTATTTGTATCATACCTTGAGCTTAGCTCATTTGGCTGGATTGTTGGTTTGTGAAGCAGTGTGATGTCAGCAGCATGGGTTCAATTCCCACACTGGCTGAGGTTACCATGAAGGACTGTCTTTCTCTTGCCTGAGGTGTGGGAGCCCTCAGGTTAAATCACTACCAGTCATCTCTCTCTAATGAAAGAGCAGCCCTAAGGTTTGGAATGACTGTGGTATCTTGAATCCTCCAAAGAGGGGGGGAAGCTTGCCAAAGGGTGCAGCTTTTGGCAATAACATGCACAAGCACCATACACTGTGCTTTCCTCCATCTGACCATCCTCACAGGTGAGCCAATGCTATTCCTTTCCAGAATGAATATAGTAACAATTGGGGTGTTGGGTGATTATTCCTGAGTCATATATCTTTCTACATAACTGCAGAGGTGGAAAGACCAGACAAGTTTGGAGGAAGCCGTCAGCACTAATTAGTAGTCAGCTGCTTTTGGCAACTGGCTGTTGTGCTGTGATTGATGTGTATCAGTTTGTGTGCTTGAGGCTGTGGGAGTGTAGAAGATACAGACATAAGAAAAGTTTTGTGTTCCAAAATCTCATGTTGAGACCAAACCTGCTAAACCAAGATTTTACCTTTGTAGACAAATTCCAACCTTACAGCTATAAGTGTCTCTCCTCAAATAAGGTAAGATTATAAGTATCCACCTTTGGTTATCATCTGTATTGACCATAGAAAAGAAACGGGACGAAGGTCTCAATGCGTGAATTAATAGCCCTTACCCACATGTTAAAGCACTTAATATGATGTTTGTGAAAACAGAAATACCTCATGTAGATGAAGTTCACAGGACTAGATTCCTGGCAGTTCTTAACTGGACCCTGTATCCCTTTTTTAGGAGGAGAATTTCAGTTCAGATTTTGTGATAGACTTGAAGGCAGTAGTCTTAAAAATAAGGAAATAGTCCCCCTTGTCCTCACATATCACCCCATCAACCTTCGCATCCAATGTATCATTCTCTGCCACTTCTGCCACCTACAATCTGGCCCCACAACCAAAGATATATTTTCCTCCCCACCCCTATCTGCCTTTCGTAGGGACTGCTCTCTCCGCGACTCCCTTGTCCACTCCACACTCCCCACTAACCCCACCACCCCTGGCACCTTTCCCTGCAACCGCAGGAAGTGCTACTCCTGCTCCTACACCTCCGCCCTCACCTCCGTTCAAGGCAAAAAACAAACCTTTGACATCAGACATGGGTTCACCTGTACATCCGTCAACTTTGTCTACTGTATCTGCTGCACCCATGTGGCCTCCTCTACATCGGTGTGACCAAGCGGAGACTTGGAGACCATTTCGTAGAGCATCCGTGCTCTGTAAGCGACAAACAACAACACCTTCTGGTCACGAAACATTTTAACTCCCCTTCCCAGTCCCTGGGTGACATGTCCATCCCAGGCCTCCTACAATGTTACAATGACACCACCTGCAAATTGGAGGAGCAGCACCTCATATTCTGCCTTGGGAACCTACAGCCCGATGGCCTAAACATGGATTTTACCAGTTTCAAAATCTCCCACGCCCGGCGATATCCCATGAACCAACCCTCCCTCTCATCCCCACCTCCTTGACCTGACACAACCTGTCCATGTTCTCTCCCATCTATCTGCCACTCCCACCTCACTGACCAATCCCCACCACTACCTGCACTCACCTATCACGGTCCCACCTACCTTCCCCAGCCTCACCCCTCCTCTCTCTATTTATTTCTGAGCTCCCCTCCCGCTCCCCATTTCTGAAAAAGGGTCCCGACCCAAAACATCAGCTTTCCTGTTCCTCGGATGCTGCCTGGCCTGCTACGTTCCTCCAGCTCCACACTTTGTTATCAGCCTTTTAGGGTATATTTTATTTGATTATAATTTCAATCTGCCACTAAACAACCGTAATCCAGATGAACACCAAGTGATGGTTTAGGCTGAAATACAACAACATTAAAGGAAAGAACTGAAAGAGATACTTACTACTTCCAACTCCTTCATGAGTAGTTGTAACTACCTCATCACTACCAAATTCTATCTCTTCCAAAACAGCAGTACTGGTAATTGTGGTTACTTCAGGAATGGGTATATATACCTTTGCCAGTAGTTTGATATTTTTGCTCACTAATTCACATATCTATACAATTAGAAAGAGGTCAAATTGTTAACATGAAGGAATGTTTCACACTACATTTTTGGTCCCATTAATCACAAAAAATTAAAAACCTTCAATGCTGCTCAGACAATCAATTAATTTCAGAGCTTAACGAGCTTCTGGAAAATTGACTGATATTTTTCAGTGTAACTTCATTATAATGGGATCAGTTTTTTTTCTTGTAATATACTATATACATTCTTAATACAGATGTTCAGATAGATTTTGTAAAACTGATACACTGGAATTTTAAAATGGAGTAATGACTCCTCAGAGTTCCCTTGTTTGAATTAGTATGTGAATGCAGAATTGGCAAATGTATATCTCTATTGCAACAATTAAACCAGATGACCTTCCAAAGGAGAGTTATTATTACATTAACCCCACAACATCCAATCTGTTTCATCTAATATTTCACATTTTTGAAATGTGTTAGGCACACAAGTTGACTGACTGAACAAGTTGACAAAGCTGATACCTACAACAGCTGATGGATCAGAAGACCTAAAATTAAGAAATTGTTTCAATATTAACAGTCATGACATAATGGCCATCCTTTGGCAAAAAGGCAATAAATTAGAAGGTTATGACGAATTAATTTAGCTGAACCAAAGTTATGCCTATGTGGTGACGCAGAACTTCAAACCTACCACAAAAGATTCTTGGAATAATTTTGTTGAAAACAAAAGACAGTTTGCAAATGCCTTGAAGCATTGTGCGTAGTGCTGAAAACACCTGAACCTGGATCTTATATAGACAGGCTCAGGCACCAGCAAATTGTTTTTATGCAGGAAGAGCAGGATAGAATAGAGCAAAGTAGAATTGCAAAGCAATTAAGGAGGATGCAACTCAGCCAATAACTACATTCTCATAGAATACAAGAGCAGCAAGTTATCTGAGGACTTTATTAAGGAAATAAGTACAAGAAGGTTGTGCATCACTGATGTAGCAATAAGGCATTAAAGTACCTACTGCTTCATGACTTGTGGCTACACAACTGCCTGAAATTCAGAGCATAGAACTTCTTTTCTAACAAACAGCAATGTGGTTGATTCTTAAATGCCCTCTGGGCAACTAGGAACAGGCAAGAAAAGCTGACCTAGCCAGTGACACCCACATCCCATGAACAAATAGAAAAAGTAAATGATCAATACTTTTAGATCACAGATTCATTTCATTGACCCACAGATGATCTAGCTACTTTTAGTCATGCTGAAGCACATATACACCTTCATGAGATCAAAATGTATTTTACAGGAGATCTGGGATATTTATTGGCCAGGATCTTCCTGACAGCAGTGACGCTATAGTTCAACTACTGACCCATTTAAAGACACAATCATTTTTGATTACTGCAGGCAACTAACCTTCTGGCGCTGTGAGATTCATTGACAAGATGCAATTCCAATGAAGCTACACTCCTTGAGATCTGCCTTCAGCTCAGTGACAGGTGAATGATTTTAATCTTATCTTTCATCAATGTTTAATTCTAGCTCCCTTCCATCAAGCATTCGCTCATCACCCCTCGGTCTGATCAGATCCACCATTATCAAAGCCAACAGTTCAGACCTGCCCCCTAGAATCATTGGTTATTTTAAAAATTGGCAGTATGGCAAATAGCAAGAGGGAAAGCCTTAGACTACAGAATGATATGTATGGACTGGTCAGATAGGCAGAACAATGGCAAATGAAAAGTGTGAGGTCATTCATGTTGGAAGGACTAACAAGGCAAAGGAGTACACGATGAATGGTGGAACCCTAGAAAGAACAAAGGATCAAAGGGACCTTGATATGTATGTCCACTGATCGTTAAAGGTAACAGAACAGGTGGAATACTTCTGGAATACTTGCTTTTATTAGTCAAGATATTGAATACAAGAATGGGGAGATTATGATGGAGCTGTACATGATGTTAGTTAGGACACAGCTGGTGTACTGTGTGCACTTCTAGTCACCACACAACAGGAAGGATGTGATTGCACCAGACATGGTGCAAAGGAGATTCACCAGGATGTTCTTGGGTTGAAGCAATTCAGGTTTTATGAGAGATTACATAGGCTGGGGCTGTTTTCCTCAGAGCAAAAAAGGCTCAGTGGGGACCTGATTGAGATTTACAAAATTATGAGCGGCATAAATAGGATAGATAGGAGGAAAACATTCCCTTTGGTAAAGGGATCAATAACCATGGGACATAGATTTAACATAAAGGAAATTTAGATGGAATTTAAGGAAGAATCATTTTGTCCAGAGGGTGGTGGTTATCAGGACCTCACAATCTGAAAGAGTGAGACAGGTGGGAACAACATTTAAGAAATATTTTGATGGTTACTTGAAGTACCATAATATACAAGGCTACAGGTCAAGTGCTGGAAGATGGGATTAGAGTAGATACATGCTTGATACGAAGCAGGGACACGATGAGCTGAAGTGCCCCTTTCTGTGCTCTAAAATTCTATGACTAGCTCTGCACTACCCCCTCCAGTTCACCCCTCGCCTCCTGACTCTGCTCAGCTCTCCTACGTAATACCTGTTCTGCTTCCACATTGGTGAAACTAAGGAGCCTAATTTGCTGGCGTGGGTGAGCAGAGTGGGGGTGGAGGAGTGTTTCGATATTCTTACTGATTCAAAGGACTGACTCTCCAGATAGGCTTTACATCTGACAGCAGCAGCCCTAAATACCTCAGTGTAAATACTGAGCTAAGTACCAGGCAAACAGCCCCAGTTTAGGCACCAGTAGGCACTGGACTATCAGCATTAGCCGATTAGAGTTGAAAATGATACATTGCAAGTTCTGATTCAAGCATAAGTGGGCAGTTATGAACCTGCATTTCCATTATTGTGACCTTCAATTGTGTATTCCTCAAATGAGACACAAGATCCAGATCATTATCTTTGGCAGTATGGTAAGACAGCAATGAAAAGGACTTCTTTTACAGATTTGTCAATGTTGTAGCATCCACACTATTTGTTGAGACCCATTGAAAATCCCTTCAACTACCTGAACATAAGTGGGCTCCTGGGAATCTGCATTTCCATTATTGTGGCCCTTAATAGTATATCCCTCAAATGAGACCACAAGATCCAGATCATTATCTTTGGCAATATGGTAAGAAAGCAGTGATGAGACCCACTGAAAATTTCTTTAACTACCTCCACAGAAAGCACTTTTACTCCTGTAGTTTTAAAATTGCAGAGAATCTGCATTGAAATGCTGAATGAAAACAATGGCAAAATTTTACTGGGGCCTAAATTGCATCAGTTATGGTAAGATTTGTGGCAAAATTATATGAGAAGTCCAGAAGACCTATCTTGATTTTGGGAGCAACTTGCTGCATCTTTTATGCATCAGTCGGGCAGTAAGATAAGTTTTTCGTTAGGCAGAAATGAGATGCCAATTAAGAGATTACAGCTTGTTAAAAGCATTACTGCACAACTTCCCTCATTACTATTGATCTTCGTAATTTACCAAATGAGCCAAATAACTAGATGATAAGAAGTCTTGACACGGAAGTCAGAGTGGGTACCTGACCATTTCAAATCACCTTTGGCTGGGAAGAGCCTCCATGTTGCTCAGCTCCAAACAGCATTTCAGGGCATGATTCATGGGCATCAAATGCATGCATACTCATCCAGGGAAATTGGCATCTGACATTTTCCAACCTCTCATGATCCTCATGGCACCTCTGGATCCACTTGGAAGATGATTAGGAGGCACAACCCACATTGCAGAACGTACCAGCAATTAGTATTGAAAGGCTGATGCAAGGGCACTATGCACAACAGGGTAGGCACCCAGCTCATGGATTGGAATAAGCTACACCTCAGGACTGCTTGCTTGCTCACATTGCACCTACATGCACAGTCACAACAGCTATGCCTTACCTTGCCATGCCTGTTAGTCAGCCAGACCCAAAGGCAATCAGTATTGTCATATTGAGCTGCACTTTAGTGCAGGCACAAAGACGTGCTGCTTGTCAGTAGGAATGTTATATACTCTAAACAAAAATATATTCCATTAAGAAAGAAAGATGCAATGAGAAGGATGCACAACCCTTAACTATCTAAGGAAGTTAGGGATAGTATAAAACTGAAAGAGAAGAGGTACAATGCTGAAAAGATTAATCATTTTAGAAACAGGCAAAAGATGACTGTAAAGAAAAGGAGAAGTTGGGTTATGAAAGAAATCTAGCAGGAAGTATAAAAATAGACAGTAAAAGATTCTACAAAAATTTTAAATGGAAGAGAGTAGCTAAAGTATGTCAAGATCCCTTAGAAGCTAAGAATGGGGAGTTATTAATGCAAACCTATAAAATTCCAACAGGATTAGACAGGAATGATGTTCCCAAAGTGGGGGAGTCCAGACCTAGGTGTGACAATCTATACTATTTAGGACTGAGATGAGGAAAAATGTCTTCACCCAGAGAATGGTGAGTCTGTGAAATTTGCTACAACAAAAAGCAAAAATACTGTATAATTTCAAGAAGAATTTGGACTTAGCACTTTGGGGGCTAAAGGGATCAAAGAATATGTTGGAGAAGTGGGAACAGGTTACTGAGTTGGATGATCAGCTCAGATCTTAATGAATGGTGTGGCAGGCTCAAAGAGCCAAATGGCCTAGTTTCCTATGCTCCTATTTTATGTTTCTATGACTATCTCTGATTATGCAGTGTCTCTCAAATTGCAGATATATTTTGTGCCTCAAAATTCTTTCAAATGAATTCCCCACCGCCAAGATTGTGAAGAACATGAAAAGGTAATCTCTTTGTGGCGGTTATTTGGCAAAAGTAGCTTCATGAGTAGTTTGCAGGCTAGCAGAATCAGATGACTCGGATGGCCATGATACCGGGATATACAAGCAAAACTAGAGGGAAAAAACAGTTTAAAAAAAACTGGGTAATGAACATACTGGTCATACTGGGGCACTGTTCTGAGGTATACAAAACAAATCTGATCACTGTCCATCATTCACAAGTTTTAGTGTTTTTAGCCTCCCGGGAATCTAAGGGAACATATAAAAACTGTCTAAATGTGAGGATGTGAGACAAGAAGCAAGCGCCATGGATTGGCAGCAAGGGATATGAGATTGGGCAACAAGAAAACACAGATCCAGTACTGACTCAGCAAATACTCTTTAGGAGGAAAAGGTTGCATACAGAAGAGCGGATATCTAGTAGACATTCTGACAGGAGTAGTCCAGAGAGATCTCATGGTGAAGAAAGAGGCCACAGCCAGACAGGGCAACTGGGTAGCATGGGTAATGGAGAGCCTGCTCAGACAAAGGATAAAAATAGAAAAATCCATGATCAGGTAGTGTTTGTGGTTACTATGGCAATGGAAGTTAGGGTGATAAAAGAGGCTAAACTAAGAATTACAGAACTGGAAAGAATTAAGAGTGTATTCAGAAGCTGATGATAGTGGTAAACTTGCTCTGTCACACATGTGGATCTGTACAGAAATGGTCCTACCAAATGGAACTTATAACGCCAAGTCTAGGTTGGTATCTAGAAGCTTTAAGGAATGTTTGGGGGATAGGGTAGACTCTCATATAGCTGGAAAAATAATTTTGCAAATATTTCAGCCATTTTAATGACCTTTTCTTGGAAGTGCAACATGCTTGAAAAGTAAGTATTCTTATAGCTCCCTAAGGAAGCACTGGGAATAAAGGGGAATCTCTGGAAATTATGGTAAATGTGGGGTAAATGCGCTTCATGGGTGTGATATTTTTCAGTAAGGACACTTAATGTTGGGGTGTTTACAACTGAACATGAACCCTGCAACATTCTATTGGCACTAAAATGGAAACAATTCGAATGGAGCATAGCGACAATCTTTTGTGTAGGGCCACCAATGAATTGAGGAAAAGATACTCAATCAAATTAGAAAAGAATTCGAAACTGGGTAAATAAAAGTAAATTATTTCCATTGGTTAGAAATTCTAGAACTAGTGGGCATAGTCTAAAAATTAGGGCCAGACCACTGGGAGAGATTTGGAGCTCTCCTCTACAAATTGATGCTAGATCAGTCGCTAATTTTACATCTGAGACAGATAAATTTTTGTTAAGCAAAGGTATTAAGACATATGACCTATATGGAGTAGGCCACAGATCAGCCACAATCTCACTGAATACCAGAACAGGTTTGAGATGCTGAATGGCCTACTCCTGTTCCAATAATTAATTTACTATTTACTATTAATTAATTAATTAATTTACTATTGTCTTAAACTAACCAACAGAAATGGTTCCAAATAAATAGATGTAGATAGAACATGAATGCTGTCATTTTAAATCAGTAAAAATTTAATTCTCCAATGATTTCCACTGATGCTAAATGTCACACTATCTGGCCTTCTACGTTACAATGGCTTTAAATGAAACTGAAGTGTATCAGCAATTTGAATCAATAACAGTTACCTCAAATCTAATGCTTTCGGGTTTGTGAATTATCTGAATGTTGAATATTTGTCTAAACTGTACACTGAAATCCGGCAGTAATTGTGAGCTAACAGTAGAAGAAACAATTTTGTCATTGTAGAAAATACGAATGAAGAACTTATGGTTTTCCACTTCCATCCTTCTTTGCAATTCAGCCCTAAAATGATAAGAACAATGGCAATTAGTGGAATAATAATTATTTGCACAATAATTGAAACTTTCTGTCACTCATAAATATTTATCTAGAACATTCTTTGTTATTAATGTTAACATCAAGTTAAATGTTATGAGCGGTAGTAAAGTATTTCAATTCTGCACAAAATTAAAGAAAAGCACTTATCACATTATTATCACAAACAGACCCTTTGTTTGAGCTCCCCCACCTTTATTTAGGTGCAGGACTCGTGATTCATTATCTGCTTACACCTTGCAGTAGGGGACAGATAGATTTTATACGGTCCTTGCATTGACCTGATTATTGCATTGGACGAAGCAGTTGAGCATCACTGGCTACCTCAGAACTCAACAGGAAACCCAGCACTATTATGCTGATGGTGGTACAAATAGAAGATTTAACTGGCCCAGATTTTTTGCCACCACACAGAGGACTTGTGCATAGGGACTCTGCAGTATCCACATTGTAATAATTGCCAAAGGAATTCCAAAGGAATTGCCCAGGAAATTGAAACTTTGGCTAGGTAATTCCTCCATGTCTGCATCCCTCTGAAAGTCTCCATTTAAATCAGAGACATTGGAGCGTAGCGATGAGATTAAGTAAAATATTTAGTCAGAGAAGTTTGATTATTAAATACATAAGTTTTGTATGTAATAATTTATAAAACTGACCCCATACTTACCTTACACAACCCCCGCTATACCTATCTCAGACAACTTACACACCGCAGACTCTGAACCAACACTTCCCCAGGACCCAAACTCCACCTTACCCACAGGCAGCTGGATCCGACAAGATACTCCCATGTGCCAGGGCCCAACCCAACCCAACATTCCATCCCCACTGTTGGACCCACCCCAATATACCCCCAGCCCCAAGCAACTGGATCTGATCTTCTTTCCCCTTCTATCTACGCCCGGCCCTCCACCAGACCTGACCCAACCTGACCTGACCTTACCCCAGAATCTAACACAACCAATCCTGAACACCTCAAACCCAACTTCCACCCTTCCTGTCACCAGCAAGACCCAATTTCTCCCAACCACCCCATATTATCCTAAACATTACTTCCTTGAACCCATGTTACGCTACTTAGTAAATAAAAATCTAAAGAACTGAGAATGCTATAAATCAGAACCAGAAACAGAAGTTGCTGGAAAAGCTCAGCAGGTCTGGCAGCATCTGTAAAGAAAAATCAGAATTAACGTTTCAAGTCCAGTGACCCTTCCTCAGAACTTATGGTAGGTAGGAAAATGTCAGTTTATATACAGAAGATAGGTGTGGATAGAGCCCAAAGAGAGAGAAGAACAGTTGGATAGACAAAGGAGTGGATAACTATCTGGCTAGGAGGGTGAGTAGCTGTTAATGAAAACTGTTAATGGCTAACAATATGTAGTATGTAATGGCAGACTATGTGATAACAAGGCCTGGTGTGTGAGGTCGGGGGCCAGGACATGGGAGGGTTCAGGCCCTAAAATTACTTAACTCGTTCTTCCAGCTTGCACTGAGCTTCACTGGAACACTGCAGCAAGCCTATGTTGGCCAGGGAACAGTGTGGTGTGTTAACGTGGCCGACATCTCTGTCTCAGGCTTGCTGCAGTGTTCTAGCAAAGCTCAGCCCAAGCTGGAAGAACAACTCATCATTTTCCATTTGGGGGCTCTGCAGCCCTCTGGACTCAATGTTGAGTTCAATAATTTTAGGGCCTGAATTCTCCCATGTCCTATCCCCCTACCCCACACACCATGCCTTGCTGTCACATATTCTGCCATTACACACTACCTATTGTGAGCTACTAACAGTCTCCGTTAGCAGCTATTCACCCTCCTAGCCAAATCATTATCCATTCCTTTGTCTGTCCAACTGTTCTTCTCTCTCTTTGGGCTCTATCCCCACCTATTGTTTACTCCTGACTCCCTCCCCCAACCCGATCTTCTGTACATAAACTGACATTTTCCTAGCTACCATCAGTTCTGAGGAAGGGTCACTGGACCTGAAACTTTAACCCCCACTACCTAGCAACCACCCTACCGCTTCACAATTGGCATTCAACCCACATGGTACCTTACCCACTATCCAGCTGGTACCCTACATACTTGCACCCTACCCCTATACACCTGGCATCCTACACATCTGTCTTGGTTGGGAATATACTGAGAAAATCCTAAAGGAGAGAATTAATCTCCACTTGGATAGGCAAGATTTGATCAGGGTAGTCAATATGGCTTTGTCAGAGGGAGATCATGCCTAACAAGTTTGATGGAATTTTTCAAGGAAATGAGCAGGTTTGTTGATGAACATTGTGCAGTTGATGTAGTTTAAATGGATTCCAGCAAAGCCTTTGACAAGGTCCTATATAAAGGCAGTAAAAGAACATGGGATGCAGGCAAATTGGATCTAAAAATGGCTTAGTGATAGCAGACAGAAGGTGGCAGTAGAAGACTATTTCTCTGACTGGGGCCGATGTCCAGTAACAATCCACAGGGATCTGTACTGAGTCCCTTATTGTTCATGATATATATAAAAAACATAGAAGTAAATGTGAGGGAGATGATAAGTAGGTTTGCAGATGACACAAAGATTGGCCCTGTGGTTAATAGTGAAGAAGAATATCATTGGTCACAGGAGGATATAGACAGATTGGTCAGATGGGTAGATGGAATTTAATCCTGAAGAGTGTGAGGTGATACACTTTGGAAGAAATAACAAGAGAAGGGAGTACTCAATGAATTGTAGACTCTAAACTTAGAGGAACAAAGGGATCTTGGGAGTGTTTGTCCACAGATCCTGACAGGACAGGTTAATAGGCAGCTAGAAAGCATATGGGATACTTGTTTTTATCAGCTGTGGCATATATTATAAGACAGGGATGTCATGTGAGATTTGTATAAAACCTTGATTAGGCATTGATGGACTACAACGTGCAGTTCTCGTCACTGCACTAACAGAAGGATGTGATTGCACTGGAAGGAATGCAGAAGACATTCACCAGGATCAAAAACAAAGTTGCTGGAAAAGCTCAGCAGGTCTGGCAGCATCTGTGAAGGAAAAAACAGAGTTAATGTTTTGGGTCCAGTGACCCTTCCTCAGAACATTCACAGTTCTTTCGGTTTTTATTCACCAGGATGTTGCTGGGAATGCAGTATTTTAGTTATGAAGAGAAGCTCAGGTTATCTTTTTTAGAGTACAGAAGGCTGAGAGGGGGCCTGATTGAGTTGTATTAGCTTATGAGGGGCATGGACAGGGTGAATAGAAAGCAGCTGTTCCCCTTTGTTGAAGAGTCAATATAGAAAGTCATAATTTTTAAGTGAAAGGCAGGAGATTTAGAGCGGATTTAAGAAACATCTTTTCTCTCATAGGGTGGTGAAAACCTGGAAAGAACTGCCTGGGATGGTAGTCGATGCAGGAAACTTCACAACCTTTAAAAAGTACTTGGATGAGCACTTGAAATGTTATAGCATTCAAGGCTGTGAGCCAAGGGCTGGTAAATGAGACTTGTGTAGATTTAGAGTAGTTTAGTCAATGCAGACCCAATGAACCAAAAGGCCTATTCTGTACTTTATGACTCAATGATTCTACTCCTGAAATCCTACCCCTTCCTGAGCTGACACCCTACTCTGTAGGGTGTCCTTCCCTTGGTACCCTATCACCTCTCTTCCCAGTTGGCATCCTACTTACCTGACACCCTACTTATCTGGCACCCTATCCTCACTACCAATCTGGCACTCAATACTCCCAGTACCCTAACCACACTTATGTACTAACACTTTGGCAGCAGCTGTCAAAATAGCTGACAGAACCTTTACATTTCACTATATAGCAGCTGACTGCAATGGAAGTGGGGGTGACTTTCCTTTCTCTGATAGTTCTGTGCAACAAAAGAACTATCAGAATGGAAGTCACCTTCACATTTCTGAGAGATCCCTGAGTAGAATCTCCTCTTAGAAATGCAGAGCTCCTTTCTTGAAAGAAAAAAAGGGCATAGTGGCAATCAGTATTAGATTGCTATTCCTCAGAAAATCTGGTCCATCCAGCACTGCTACCTCTATACAAGGTTATTGTGTTTCCTGTTGTCACAATGAAGAAGACAAAATAAGCCATTTTTGAGATAAGGTTTAAGGCTTCATATAAATTAATGAACAACATAGAGATTTTATTGCAGAGGTTCTGCGTGGTCAGCAGAAAGAAAAAATACTTGGTTTGTAAACTACCACAAACAGACCCAGGAGAAAGATGGTTGAAGTAACCATCCTGAGGCCTCATAAGAATTCAAGGAGATTCGCCCAGTCACTATCAGGAAGAACAAGAATCATGGGAACAGGATTTACTGTTAGTGGTGGTTTTAAGAAGCTCTTGGAAAGTGGAGGAAATTGCCTGACAACACTCATTCAAAGTTACCACCTGCTGAAGCAGAGATATGGAAACCCACTAAAAGTTGAAATATCTCTGGATTGTTTGCTATAAGGACTGTAATTCCTTAGAGAGTGCAATGGAGTATGCTAAGTATATGAGAGGAAAGTCACTTTATGTAGTTTAAACTACAAATTGCCTATAAAATGATGATAGTGCTTTAGTCAAAAACTTTTAAACTAATATGTTACAGTAAAGTTTTAAAATAGGGCAGAATGGTGGCTCAGTGGTTAGCATTGCTGCCTCACAGCACCAGGGACCCAGGCTCAATTCCACCCTCAGGCAGCTGTCTGTTTGGAGTTTGCACATTCTCCCGTGCCTGTGTGGGTTTCTTCTCACAGTCCAAAGACATGAAGGTTAGGTGGATTGGCCATGCTAAATTGCCCATAGTGTCCAGGGATGTGTACGTTAGGTGGATTAGTCATGGGAAATGTAGGGTTACAGGGATAGGGTAGGTGGGTGAGTCTGGGTGGGCTGCTCTTTGGAGAGTCAGCATGGACTTGTTAGGCCAAATGGCCTGTTTCCACACTGTAGGGATTCTATGGATATATATAAATCTTAATGTCATTCTTTTAGGTAGCAACTGGGACTTCAAATCTCTTTTTTAAAAGAAGTAATTGGTCTCTATGGAGAAAATAAAATTGCTGGGTCTTTGCAGCATTCTGAATCCATGAGCTGAAATAGGTACAATTGGAGATTCTAAAAGTTAAAAATGTCTTTTAATGATTGTTGATTTTTCTTCTCAAGAGAGGATGTACCTTTCAGTGTCTTGCAATAGATAATAAAGGCTAATCTGAAGGCAACAGAAAACTTACAAATAGAGTTAAAAGTATACTCCACGAAAGGAGAAGTAATTGAGAGATTGGTTTCAAATAATCCAGATAAAACAGATTGGGTTGATTCAGATTCAGTTGCAAATGAAGCAGTTTGAAAAATAAGAAAAAAATCAAAATAACTTGAACCTGAAATAGAAAAGAAAAAGAAGAATAAAGAGAAATGTGAAAACGTGATGGACATAATATATTATAATTTTGCGCAAGGCGGTCTGTTACACTTATAGGGAAACTGAAGTGAATGACAGCAGGCTCCTGAGTATTATTGTTGTGAATCAAATCAGGGAAAATGGAACATACAAACCAGATGGGAGTTCAGGGTCACGGAGGGGCTTGGAAACCTTAATGATGGAAATGAACAAATGGAAGGATAAGATGTTTCAAAGGCCATGCTCAGAAAGGATTGGGAGTATGTGACCAAGGAACTCAAGCCCTAGAACTTGGACCTGACAGCCTGACATGTGTGCCACAAGAAGTTCAAAGACTTCAAGCAGAATGAAAGAATCTTCATGTGACTTTCCTCCACAGCAAACTACCAGTCTCTCATGCTGCTTAATGTACCTCAACATTCATCCATTAGCAACTTCTGGCCCTCAGAATATAGGCCTAATATCCAAATATTCTACTTCACCCTCAAACACCTGCCAAAGCTAACCACCTCATACCCATCTTCCATTACCTCCTGCTATTCAGCTATGCAAACGAGTGTAGCACAATCACTGACTTTCATATGATAAATTAAAAAGTTGCTTCTAAAGAAAGGTTCTTGACCAAAAACGTTTCCTTTCTCTTTCCACAGATGTTGTTAAACATGCCAAATATCTCCAGCACTTTCTGTTTTTATTCAATATTTTTATGAATCCATAGCATTTATGTCTCAGTGGTGTTACTACTGACAGGGTTGGTTGTGTCCTGGAGGTTGTAGCTGTTAGACTAGGTTTTAAATCTTGGTTTAGTAAGGGGGGAAGACAAGCCAGCGGCAGCACTGGGCATGCCTAAAAATGAGGACTTGTGGTGCAGTAGTAGTAACTCTCCTCTGGATCAGAAGCTCTGTGTTCAGGTTCCACCTCAATACTTGCTGGTGACAGAAGGTACATCATAACATGGTAAACAGATTGACTATCAATCTGTCAGTGCTTCCGATATGCCAGTGGCAGGCAATATGAGTGGGAAAGTTTTCTTGTCAGCCAGAACCATATAGTAGCTCAGCACAACAGCTTAAAAGCATTTTAACTGCATGTTAAAAGATGCAGATACTTGTCATAAGCAAATATCATCCTGCTTCCAAGGGACTGCAAATTACTTTACTTGCAATTTGGTTGCCTAGTCATTTAAATAATGTGCAGGAGCCTCTCATCCTAGGAATACCTTCTCCTATCTCATTATGCTTAATGGCCCTGCCCCTATGGGAGACACATGCTCAGGAACACTCATTTGGGAAACTTTCAGAATGTTGAGGCAACATAAGTGGATAGAGACTTGAAGTAGCAGTTCTCCACTGTCGTTTACTCTCTAGAACTGGAAGTTGAATTTTACTTGTTCACACAGATAGGAACATCAGCCCCATTGTCTTGTAGCGTTTGCTATGGAGGGTGAACTTTTTAAATTAGTTTTCTTTTTACCAGCTTATATACAAATCACTTACATTTTAAACGTATATAACAAATATATTGTATAAATTGAACAGTGAAGGCAAATGTGTATTAATTGAGAGTGTTTAGTTGCAACTAATACCCAGAGCACTGTGAGTTTGGTGTTATATCCACAGTCAGTAATAGTTTAGGAATCAAAGTAGGCTTAATCTGTTGCCTCTGAATCCACATTCTTCTTGTTCTTGCCATATCTTCCATTTTCTTTCGATCAGTTGGCATAGAAAGTACTGGTGGCTTTCCTATCTCATCATCAGTAGCTTCACTGACTGATTCATCTCCTTCTAAAAGTTTTCTTCTTTTGACATCCTGGTAATATTAAAAGATAAGCTGGGGTTTAATTTGTCATGTAAATAGAAATTTAAATAGTTCATTATCTGCTTTGTGGTGGTTGAACATATCAGACAATGAAGCAACAGTCAGACTAACATAATGGTGTAGACTTAGTTTAAAGGTTACAAATTTTCCAGTTTGCTTTCCGACAGCAAGAGGTTTTATGGCATATGAAACTAGAACACAAATTGAGAAAAACTGGCTCTTATCATGAGGTGCACTAGGACAAAACTGAAACAGTGCAAATTACATCTTGTCAATAGATTCTTAATATGTATAAACATAATCAAAATAATGAGCTAAATATCATACCTTTATTGAAACTATATTGACATAGACCTTTTTGTTAATAACATTGTTATCTTGCCAATGTCACATAAGCAAAAATGCAAAAATGCAGATATTGTAGCCAAAGAGTTATACCATCAACGTGCAGCCAGATGGCATTTCAGTCTGCCTGATCGCTTTATCCTCAACTCCAGTGAATTATCTAATTTGCACAATAAGGCCCTGCTATCTTTCCACAGTGATCCAGTATTCTGTGCAAGAGTATTGAACACATATTGGCGATATGTATTTGCCTCAGACAATTGCATATGCGGGAACAGGCTGGAATTTCTAGTATCTAAATTTTTGAAAGTTATTGGGATCGTAAAGCTGTGTTTGGCTGTACAACCAATACAACCTGTATATAGAGGTGTGTTTTGGAATTTAGCATATTTTTCTTCTTCAGCCCTTTCGAATACTGTCATCAAGCCTTCACATTGGAGTGAGGCTTCCACAGTTATAAGCTTCCCAGAAATCCTGCTAGTTGAATCCCACATGTACACTTGTTCAAGTCAGATGTGTTTGGTAATAATAGAACAAAGTCATGTCATCTGGGGGAGTACTGAGAGGGTGTCTAAGGGAAGCAGGAAATGGAGGAAGGAGATGAACTCTTAACAATGACATCAGCAACACCAACTTCCATTTCCTCTGATGCAAATACACAATGATGACATTAGCAGCATGACTTCTTGTTCCAGTACGTTGACAGGATATAAACTGGGATATCGAACACTTTGTCAGAAGATGAATGCAATAAGTTAGAATTGCCTTACACTTGCTCCAGTCAACAAGTTTGACCACATGCATAATGCTAGATATGCCGGTGCCGTGCAAAAGCACCAGTTGAACTAACATAAATCTAATTTAGACATCGGTCCACTGCGAAATTGTGTTTGATATCCTGTTGTGAATAATATTATCCTATGTGTAAGAAGCAAAAATAAGAATTGCTTGAACAAAAAGACACTGAGAATTAATACAATATTATGGTTTTCTATCTATGTATACATACTAATTGCACATATCATTAATCCTATTTATCCCCAATTTTAGGATATAATTACATACCTGTTTGCTTTGCAAATTTTTCAGTTTTTCATTATATGTCTCCATTTCTCGCCAAAACTGTTGTTGAAGTTCTTGTTCAAGTCCAATTACTTCTGCAATGTATTCCACTTCACACTGCTTTCCAAAGGCTTCATAATTCACTTCCAACCTGTTTACAAGAAAAGTTCTTCATTTACTGCACACTGAAACTAATTTTAAATTGTTTAGATTGTACACAGTAATCTTTCTATTCCAGAAATCTGTTGTTCAGGAACATCAATTAAGTCAATTATCTGAGCAGATCCAAGAAATTCATGATATTATTTTAATATGGTACTTTGGGAGCAGAAACAGAAGATAAAGTATTGGAATAAATAAAACTGCTTTCTCATTTTTATGCTGCAGTATCCTAGAACTCTGTGGGAAGCTAAGGAAGTGATTGCTGGGCCCTTTTCTGAGATATCTGTATCATTAATAGCCACGATAGCCACAGGTGAATTGCCAGAAGACTGGAGGTTGGTTATTGTGGTGCCACTATTTAAGAAAGGTGGTAAGGAAAAGCCAGGAAACTATAAACCACTGAGCCTGACATCAGTGGTGGGCAAGTTGTTGGAGGAATCCTGAGGGACAGGATTTACATATATTTGGAAAGGCAAGGACTGGTTAGGGATAGTCAACATGGCTTTGTGTATGGGAGATCATGTCTCACCAACTTGACTGAATTTTTAGAAAAAGTAACAAAGAAGATTAAAGAGAGCAGAGCAGTGACGTGATCTATATGGACTTCAGTAAGGTGTTCGACAAGGTTCCCCATGGTAGACTGGTTAGCAAGGTTTGATCAGATGGAATACAGGGTGAACTAGCCATTTGGACACAGAATTGGCTCAAAGGTAGAAGACAGAGGGTGGTGGTGGAGGGTTACTTTTTAGGCTGGAGGCCTGTGGCCAGCAGGGTGCTACAAGGATCAGTGCTGGGTCCACAGCTTTTCATTATTTATATAAATGATTTGGATGTGAACATAGGAGGTATGGTTAGTAAGCTTGCACATAACACCAAACTTGGCAGCGCAGTGGACAGCGAAGAAGGTTACCTCAGAGTACAATTGGACATTGATCAGATGGGCCAATGGTCTGAGGATTGACAGATAGAGTTTAATTTAGATAAATGTGAGGTGCTGCATTTTGGAAAGGCAAATCAGGGCTGGACTTATACACTTAATGGTAAGATCCTGGGGCATGTTGCTGAACAAAGAGACCTTAGATTGCATGGTTCATAGTTCCTTGAAAGTAGAGTCGCAGGTAGACAGGTTGGCGAAGAAGGCATTTGATGCGCTTGCTTTCATTGATCAGTGTATTGAGTATAGGAGTTGGGAGATCATGTTGCGGCTATATAGGACATTGGGTACGCCACTTTTGGAATACTGTGTGCAATACTGTGTGACCGTCGCACACAACACCATCAAGCCTCAGATACTAAGAAGGCAGACACTATAGAAGATTTCCACAAAACCTGTATGGAGACAGTTTGTAGATTGCAATGCTGATATAAAAATCCGGCGGGGGCTTTATTCCCTTGACCATCAAGTTCCTTAAATTGATAACATTTCATTACTACTTCCTTATGGAATTCATGACATGTTATTGTTTGCAGAGGAACAACCTCAAGCAGACATAAGATGGAGGGTGAAATAACTCTATAGAAGCTGGTATCCTATCACCAAGACCCCCTTTATTTACACGTGGAGAATCCATGACACTGATCCAGCTTCCTCAAAGCCAGCTCTCAGAGTGAACAGAATCCCTGACACTCCTGTTTCTATCTGTCAGCCTGGCCTCCTTGACTGGACCAGATTAACAGCTCCAGTCAGGGCACTCATATTCTATCGTTCACCTGGCTGACTTCATTGCAATCATTACATCTCTCCCGCTCTGAGCCCAAGAACAAAGGCTGGCTCTTCCTTTTGCAGCTTCACCTGGGCTGTTTTAGCACTGGCTTGTGTTCCTCCAACTCTGCCTCTGACACGGACAGCATGCAATGCGCAGTAGCTCACCTCTTGAGCCTGGAATGACTGAAAAGAAATTCATTCTCCTCTTCAGGCGGCAAAGGCACCCAAATGGTGACAACCGCTGCGTCCATCTCAGATTCTGAGGTATATTCAATTCTTTACAGAGAGGGAGAATCTATAGATTCTGGAACAGTCAAAAAGGCAGTCTAGGAGCTGGGCACATTTTGCTCCCACCCCGTTTGTGAGTTTGCAGCTTTCATATGGTCCACGTGCTTGATCAGAACCGTCGCACCCAACTGGACTTTATTAATTACTAGACCTGACCTCACATTGACTTTTCCTCTTACCGTGCAGGCTCATTTCTACACAAAAATTCAGCCCCTGAAGTAAACTGTCTTACTTAGCAGAGTCTTGTGTCCAGCATTGGAGTTCCTGATACCAAAGAACAAAGAAAATTACAGTACAGGAACAGGCCCTTTGGCCCTCTAATCCTGCACTGACATGCTGCCCATCACAACTAAAACCCCCTACCCTTCCGCGGACCATATCCCTCTATTCCCAGCCTATTCATATATTTGTCAAGATGCCCTTTAAAAGTCACTATAGTATCTGCTTCCACTACCTCCCCGGCAGTGAGTTCCAGGCACCCACCACCATCTGTGTAAAAAACTTGCCTCATACATCACCTTTAAACCTTGCCCATCACACCTTAAACCCATGGCCCCTGGTAACTGACTTTTCCACCCAGGGAAAAAGCTTCTGACTGTCCCGTCTGCCCATGCCTTTCATATCTTGTAGACCTCAATCAGGTGCCCCCCCCCTCAACGTCTGTCATTCCAGTGAGAACAACCCAAGTTTCTCCAACCTCTCCTCATAGCTAATGCCCTCCATACCAGGCAACATCCTGGTAAATCTTTTCTGTACCCTCTCAAAGCCACCACATCCTTCTGGCAGTGTGACGACCATTTCACTGTCCCCCACCCCAGCTCCTGGAAGATCAGATTTAACCCGGAGCAGAGTCTTTTCCCCAATAGCAACTCTGCTGGAGCTATCCCTCTAGTTGCGTGGGTCTAGTCTTTGATGGCAGGACCAAATGAGTCAAGCTTCCCAAATATCAGCATGCTGTCCGACATGCTTATCCCAACTCAAAGGTGAATGTTGCAAGCAAATTTCTTCAGGAGTGTACTTTTCTCTGTCATTGCCCCATTTTTTAAACGTGGATAGTACTTGTCACTGTCTTGTCACTTCCTCAGAGCCAAGTCTCAGAGTGAACAGAATTTTTGACACTCCTGTTTATATCTGTCAGCCAGGGTTCCCTGATTAGACCAGATTCCCAGCCCCAATCAGGGAACTCATATTCTATGAGGTCCACCTGGCTGACCTTGTTATAATCACTGCATAGGGTGCTGTATGTTTGTGAAACTAAATAGTGCCTGCTAATGGTTGGGTAGACTACTTGCATCAGGCCCCTTTCAATACTGGTTCCAAGGGCCTATTAAGGTCTAAGGTCTAGTTAACAATAGTAGAGGATGCACAATAGTGAATCTTAATAAGAAGAAGGACTTGCAATTAACTCCATCTTGTTGTTAAGGTATGATCTTAATAGGTGCAAATTACATCAGCTACTTAGACATAATTACTAAGACAAGAATGATACTCTGACCCCATCCGGATCTAACACTGGACTCCTCTATTCTCCACCCAAGACTATATGACATCATCAGTGCGAACGGAGCCTAAAGCAGTTTCCAACATTAACCTTTTCAGAACTATTATCTTGTAAAACAGAAGGAGTAGTATGGTCTACAATCAGATTCCTATCCCAAACATCAGAAGAGTAGCCTTCATTTCCTTGTCTCCAAAAAGTACTTCATTTTTCTTTTCATCTAACAGGGGTATTCTTAAAGACAGTGTTGAATGGTTCCTCCATTATTGCAGCAGCTATGGATGACACAGCTGTGAAGTTCTTCATAGAAGCCGAAGCCACTTCAAGCTTTGTTCAAGCTGGCACTTTAACCTTTCGGCAGTGTTCAACGTAAAAGCAAAGTTTGAAGTGGTGGGGGAGGATTGTCTAATGAATACATTTTCTTTTGATTGGTTTTTAATGCTTTTATATTTACATCAGTGAAACTATCACAGACCAAGATGAGATAGTAGGAACTGCCAATGCTGGAGTCTGAGATAAAAAGGTGTGAAGCTGGATGAACACAGCAGGTCAGGCAGCATCAGAGGAGCAGGAAAGCTGATGTTTCGGGTCTGGACCCTTCTTCAGAAAATCAGAAATCAGCAAACAGACCAAGATGAGCTGTTGCAAGAAGCTGTCATTATACTCCACAAATGTGTTCACTTTATAGCATATCACATGTATCCCACATATCCTCCAAAAGAATGTGGTTAGAGATTGATGCCTCAGATGAAAGAGACTTGAGGTAGGGAAAATGGAAGTAAAGAGTAAAATATTAATCATTAATGGTTATGATTAAAAAAGGATTCAGTGAAAAATCTTGAAGGAAGATGTGGAATAAAGTGTTAACTATATCTTTACTCTAAGAACAGCTATTGAACATGTGCATTAAGGAGCTGTGTCATAATGCCAGACCACATGGAACTAGGATCTGAGTCTACAGATTCGAGAAATGTCTTCTCTTACTATCTTTTGTATATAATTACATTTAATAAAGGATTGTTAATATTCATTGACATGGATATGGATTGCCTTCTATCAGCAAACTAGACCTAATCTTCTACTAGCTAGGAAAGGGCAGTAACTTGTGCTTTGGATGGTCATGCTCATTTCAAATGAGCATTACATAGTAATTAATATTATGATGTTTCTACTTTGCATATGCCAGAGCAGGACAATGCCCTCAGCAAAATAGCATATGGTGTGGCCAACATTAAAAGCATGAATGGACTCTAAGGATTCCATTTTTAAATAAGAAAACATCCATGCCGGTAAAAATGCACACACAACATGTCCAAATGTTTTGGTCTAGTTATCATATGCAAAAACATCTAAGTGGCTATTTGTCCCTTTTTGTAGCAGATCCTGGTCCTTTGCAGACTGAAAGAATACATATCACACATTGTACTTGTTTCAACTTAACAAAATAGGCAATAGGCCTTATCAAGTTCAGTCCTCATCGCAATGCCTTGATGAATCATAGTCAACTAGCCTGGTGTTGCCCGTCTCTGACTGACAACAATACATACATAGACAAAGACACAGTGAGACACCTAGAGCTCTGTACAACCACAATTAGTTTATTAAGTACTTAAATGAATAAAACACACTTTTAACTACTAGAAATATCTCAATTACCATCTTTCACTATTCTGATTGCTGTAACTAAACCCACTTTGCAGCTGGCCAGGTTAAAACCTCTGTTCAAAGTCTTCACCATGTCTCCCTGACGTAGGGTACTTCCACCACAATGTTAATCTTCGAAGTGTTGTCGAACAAAACGATTTCTTCAGGCTCTTTATACTCAAGTCTCTGTGCCAAGAGTGTGCGTTTTTTGGAATTATGCATGCACATGACCAATCCTGAACGTTTTGTCCAAATGCATGCCCTATTTGGACTTATCCTTGCATGTGAGCAATCCCGAACGTTTTGTCCAATTGTATGTCTTATCTGGTAGAGACAGCAGTTCCTGATTTCCTGCAGTTTTAACTCTTAGCCAACCTAACTAACACAGCATAATTCCATTCACATAACAACCCATTGTTAAGCCTCTTGTCAGTTCCTGTCAGTTCCCGCTATCTTCAGCCTTATCCAACACTGGTTTATATTTAAATAAAGCTTAGCTAGTTGACTGTCCTTCATAATATAAGTGGTCATGTGCCATGATAATACCTGTACCAAATTGAGTTTACTCACCAAGCAATCAGCACTTTCTTCTCACACATTACAAATTGTTGCTACCCCCTCATGTTTGTATTCTTGATAATATCCTGATGATTTCAAGACAAAAAGACTTCAACAAAATGTGACTGTTTTCAGTAATTAAAATGTTCCGTACTGTTAAACGAATATTAGTAACTGCAAGTTGCCTTCAGGAAATTAAATTTGTTTGTACACAAATTTAATAGGTTGCACAGTAAGAGTAAAATCTAATCCTCAAACTGCTTTGCAATAAACTTGGAAAAGTTGTTTAAATTTTTGCTATGCAAAGAACATAATTCTGATTGGCATAATAAAATACTTACTCTTGCAATTGGAGCTTTACTGGTGTACAAATGTAATTGTTTAAAATCCGCAAATTTTTTATCTGTTTCCAGACCTTCAAAATGTTTGATAAAAGAGTATGATCTTTTTCCTTTTCA